TTTTTTTATTTATAGAGGGTGTAAAAGCAAAAGTATTTATCAGAGCGAAGCCATTCCTGGTTCAAGATCGTCGTTATTTAAGGTTGCAGCAACTTAAGATGGATTTCAGTGTGCAGAATATTAAGATGGGTGTTGAAAATGTTCGCGACAGCAACGCTATAATTGTAAGTATTTTTTTAAAAAAAATATTGTATTAATAATATTCGTGGTATACGAAAAAAAATTTTTTTTAAGAAGAACTCGAAAGAAAAATTTAATGAAAAAGAATAAATTAAAATAAAAAATTTAAATGACGATTTAAATAACAAATTTTTTTCTCGAATAATTTTTCTCTTTAATAATTTCAGTGGCAGCGTTGAATCTTTTCATTAACACCAACAGCCAAGAATTGCTGAAAGAGATGAAACCGGATCTAAGAAGGAAATTAGTTCAAGTAATGACGACTTTCGTGGAAAGGATCTTTGCTCAGGTACCATACGATGCTTGGATTATAGATTAATTATGAAAGTTGATATGATGGTTAACGAGCAAGAATGACCAAATATTCATTAATTGTTAAAGAACAAAATAACTAAAATGTCTCCCGTTCGTATTTTGTTAATCTTTTTTTGGAAAAGGATTTTCCATCAAATGCAGAGAGCAAAAAGATTAATTGCGTGCAATGGAAGTTTCAAATTCTGATAATGAAATATTTAAATTATAATAACATCTAAACATAATTTTATCAATTTAATCGATGTTAAAATATTTTATTATTTATGTTTTTCCTTGATTCATTCACATATATCATGAATGTAAAACTTTGTAGACATTTTGTATATTTTGTGCGAGATAGAGTGAATGATAATATTGAATCAATATCATCAATTACAATATTCATATTAAGTTATATTATTCGTGTACTCATCGATTATATGACTAACTGAAAAATGAAAACTGAAGGAAAACAGCACCAGGTATTCGACATCTTTCGACTTCCCCCTCCAAAAAAAAAAAAAATATTATATATCGAATAAAATTGTAGCTTTCTCAGTTTTTATTTTTCAGTTTATATCATGATTTATATTATACATACATATTTTTTTTTTATACCTTGCTTAATGTTTATCATTTCTCATATGCTTTCTTATTATGTATTTATGGCTATAACTGAATATTTATTTCATTAGATTATCATCGTTGCGTTAAAATAAAAATTAATTCTTATCGAGTTTCGTGCAATATTATTTCGAAAAAGAAATCAAGCAAAATTATTCATGGATATTTTAAAGATAAATATAATATAAAATTTTCATTTTTCACGCACATGTATATTCATTATATATTTGAGAATAAAATATAAAGTTAATAGAAATATACGTACGATATAAACGTCATTTATAAATAAAACATATTTTCTCAAGTGTAATTACCATTTGCAAATTTGAAATCGATCTTTCCGTTGTATGAATCACGTTATAAGGAAACAGGATAAACTTTTTTCTTCTCTCTCTAAAAATTAATTTGCATAATACATATAAATTTCTACTTTGAAAAATATAAATCGAAAAATTCTTCGTATGTAATAAAAATTATATAAGAATTTTATTTTATTTTATTTGTAATCACTATTATTTTATTTATCTTTAATTCATTCAATTATCACAAAATTATAATTATTACAACATTATTTTATTTTATTTTATTACATTTTCTACGGAGAGGAATGAACATTTTTTTTCTACGTCCGACAATTTATCAATTTCAACGAATAGATGTCGTAATTTTTTATGTACGAAATTCGAGGAAAATATGATGAAAAAAGAAGAATAAGAAGAAGAAGAAGA